TGGACTTAACAGACATCTACCAAGTATTCCACCCAAGCACCAAAGGACATACTTTCTATTCACCACCCGATGGAACCTTCTCCAAAACTGACCATATACTGGGTCACAAAACAACATCAACAAATACAAAAAGATTGTAATAATTCCATGCATTCTATCAGACCACAGTGCAATAAAGCTTACAATCAACACCGGAAGAAGCCCTAATCACCACATGAACACATGGAGATTAAACAACACACTCCTGAATGATGAATGGGTCAAAAGAGAAATTAAGAAAGAAATAAAAGTATTCCTGGAACTAAATGAAAAGAACAATACAACACAACAAAACCTCTGGGACACGCTTGAAAGGGGTCCTTAGAAGGAAGTTTATAGCTCTAAGTGCCTACACTAAAATATTAGAAAGAACACAAATAAATGATTTAACATTGCAACTCAAGACACTTGAAAAGCAACAGCAAATGAAACCCAAACCCAGCAGACAAGAAGAAATTACAAAAATCGGGGCAGAAATTAATGAAATTGAAACAAAGAAAACAATACAAAGAATCAACAATTCCAAGAGCTGGTTCTTTGAAAAGATAAACAAGATTGACGGACCACTAGCCCAGTTAACCAAAAGAAAGAAAGAGCACCTCCAAATCAACAAAATCAGAGACGAAAGGGGAAACATCACAACAGACACCAGAAAGATACAGAACATTATAAGGGAATACTTTAAAAACCTATATGCTACTAAATTTGAAAAACTAAAAGAAATGGACGGATATCTAAAGGTATGGGAACCACCAAAACTAAACCAAGAGAGATTAACAGCTTAAACAGACCTATAACATGAAAAGAAATTCAAACAGTAATACAAAAGCTCCTGACGAAAAAAAGCCCAGGACCAGATGGACTTACAGCAGAATTCTATCAGATATTTAAAGAAGATCTACATCCAATACTACTTAATTTATTCAAAAAGATAGAAATGGAGGGAGAACTTTCAAATTCCTTCTATGAAGCCAGCATCACTCTAATACCAAAGCCTGGTAAAGATTCAAACAAACAAACAAAAAAACTATAGACCCATACCCTTAATGAACATAGATGCAAAAATTCTCAACAAGATCCTAGCAAATTACATGCAGGCACACATCAAAAAGATCATCCACCATGATCAAATCGGCTTTATCCCAGAGATGCACGGATGGTTCAACATACGTAAGTCAATAAACATCAAAAATCATATAAATGGGCTCAAAGACAAGAACCACACGGTCATCTCAATAGATGCAGAGAAGGCCTTTGACAAAATTCAACATGCATTTATGTTAAAAGTCCTAGAGGGAATTGGACTGGAGGGAACACACCTCAACATAATTAAAGCCATACATAACAAACCCACAGCCAACATCATTCTAAATGGAGAAAA